TTATGGGACTATCCACGGCAGAGAATGCAGGGTGCATATGAATGGTGTGATGCCAGCCCAGAAGATTCTCAGGCAAGTTTACTACTGGTCCACCATGGAGGAGGATTGTATTGGTTTTGTCCGACGATGCCACAAATTTCAAATTCATGCCAATCGCATGAATATTCTGCCGTCAAAACTGTAAAACATGACTTTTCCATGGCCTTTCTCAGTTTGAACAATTGAAGTTATCGGTGCAGTCATGTCAAAAGGGTCGAATGGGCATGAATATATCTTGGTGGCGATTGATTATTTTACAAAGTGGGTGGAAGCTCAGTCCTATGCAGTGTTGAAAGCATCGCATGTGGCCAAGTTCATCAGAAACAATATCATTTGCCAATACGGAGTCCCGAACGAAATCATATCAGATAACGGCTCCTACTTTAAGAAAGAGGTGATAAACTTGTTGGAGAAATACAATGGGACTTTTCATAAGTCATCTACATACAAGCCAAAAACTAATGGAGCTGTTTAAGCCGCCAATAAGAACATCAAAAACATCTTGCAGAAGATGGTTGAGACCCACAAGGACTGGCCATATAAATTGCCATTCGCACTCTAGGGCTACAGAACCTGTATCCGGACGTTTATAGGGGTAACCCCCTATTCTCTCGTCTATGGGATGGAAGCCGTTTTGCCAATTGAAATTGAAGTCCCGTCATTACGAGTTATGGTTGAGTGTTAGATAGCAGAGGCAGACTGGCAACAGAGCAGATTTGAGGAGTTAATGCTGTTTGATGAGAGGAGGCTAAAAGCATTGTATCCTGTTCAGGGCTACCAGCGTAGAATTGCTAGGTATTTTAACAAGAAAGTTAAGTCTCGGAATCTCAAAGAGGGAGATATGGTGCTGAAAGACAACCAAGCTTCCATCCATGACCCTAGGGGCAAGTTCAGACCCAATTAGACTGCTCCTTACATCATCAAAGCTATCTGGTTGGGTGGAGCGTTTATTTTCATGGACCTAGATGGCCTGAAATTTTCACAACCGATCAACACGGACAAGTTGAAGAAATACTATCCCTGAGAGGCTCGCTAGGCTAAAAACCCGAAAAGGCAACCTAGGCAAAAGTTAGAGCATGAAAAATTAGAAATAAAGAAAAACTGAGCTCGCGGTTGAAAACCCTAAAGGGCGACTTTGGCAAAAGTTAGAGAGCAAAAGGAGAAGTTAATACTTAAGTGAACCTGAACCGAACTATGTAAGGCCTGATTCCCATCTTTGGGATATGTAGGCAACTTCATCCTAAAGTTCGGTCGTAATCACCTCCAATTCAACTGTCCTGTCCATGTGTCTAATCAGGTCATCTTTGTCCATTATCTGAGAGCTTAGTTGTGATCTTTATTCTAGGAAGAAGAGCTAGTTGCGACGCCAAGCAGTAATGTATTCAATCAAGGTGGTTATGATCTTTTGATTTGGGATTGCACATCTTGAGGATTGATTCCGCGTATGTCAGGTGGTGATCATTTTTGAAAATGGTTTTGGAAAGTTTTAATAAAAGTTGATTTTGTTCAAATTTTACCTTTTACAACTTAGACCATTTTTGGATCAAAAGGAAAATTTTTAGTGCTCACAACTTTAATTCCATTGATTTCAACCATAAAGTTCTCCAACTCTCTGACACAAATCAAAGTTTCTTTTACATCATAAAACTTGAAAAGAAAGGCCAAAGTAATAAACTAGGGACATAGGTGAGTCAAGTGCTCTTGCGTCCTCTGTTCGTGCTTGTGGAAGCTTTTGAAGCCAAAGTGGGCCCAGTTTGTGCCTCATTCTTGAGCCAAGCCAAGCTAAGCACTTGCTAGAAAGGGCATAACTGAAACTAGGGGCAGGGGCCAGAAGCTCTTTTGTCCTCCAGGCAATAAGGTACCTAGCCAAATGTGAAGCACGAATCGGGAATGAAACTGGGTATTCTACCCTATTCTCTGGGTGGGTCTGATCATGCCCAAACTGGCATTTGAACCGGAAGGGAAAGTAGAACACGCAATGTGTGAGGCCAATCAATTGTATGCTAGGTTGCCTAGTTATGCTGTAACTCATCTCAGTCAGATGAAGCCAGTGGCAGTGCCAAGCTATGTCAGCAGCAAACCTGTTTCACATTCAGTTGCACCACCATCCCTCGTTGGGAAAATCCACTAGTTGTTGGCAGAAGAAATAAGCTCGAGCTGAGTAATCGGGGCAAGAGTCCACCACCTTCAGCTTATCCATGAGCCATACCTGAGAATGGATGAAAAATAAGAAAGATTAAAGAATAGAGAGATATACGTGGAGAAAAAAGTAAAAAAAAAGCTTTGAGAGAAAAATAGAGCATGAGTGCCGAGTGATATGAGAAACATATATGAGAAAGGGTGGGAAACAATTCTTGAAGAAATAGTAGACTTCCCACAAACCTGGTGATCTCTCGCTGATGAAAAGCATCCAAGCCCATCAGGGACTCGGCCAGCGTCAATCCGATACAACTCTTACCTTTTTTCAAACATTGGGCCACTTCGATCAACCGTATGCTGGTTCCGCCAAAACTAGGGGCAAGAAGGAAATGCACAAGCATACATAAACAGAGGGCATGTTGCCAAAAACGTCGCCAGAAGAGGTCGCCTCTGTCACCGATGTCAAAAAATCCATGAATCAAGCTGGGTATGTTTAGTTCTCCGTTATGGGCCAAAGATCGAGCTTCGTGCAAAGTGAGACCACAAATTCGTCCCAAAGCTTGGGCGTAGCGAAAACGGGGCTGAGACATGATTTCCTCATCACACTGGGTTTCCATCAATGCCCAAAATTCTTCAAGAGTCGGACATATTTCTTGTGTTCCAAAGCAAAATACAAGCATAATTGGGTCCCAGCAGCGGGCCGCAACATGGAGGAACGGAAAGCAAAGTGGAGTATGGCTTAACGAAAAAAGTGCATTTATGTCGAAACCTCAGAAATTTACCTTTCCCGTGTCGTCTAAAGTGGTTATTCAATCTGTGAGCTTCTCGGCAAGGAATATCTCTATTGGTAGAAGAAACATCAGCTAAAATGAGGTTTTAGAGGAGAAATCACGAAAGAGGACCTTTTGTAGAAGATAAGGCTATGAGTGGAGGCCAGTTGTCAATAATCTGGTGATCCACACATTTGTGGCCTGCAGGCCACTAATTGTGGCCAGCAACCCCCCTTTTGTGGAAAGCAACCCCCCTTTCTGGCCTGCCATCCACTTATGTGCTGGGCAGTGTTGGTAGCCTTGTTTTTGTCTTAATCTTTGTGTTTTGAGGTTTTGTTTTGAGTCTTTTGGTCTTAACAGTTGTGCATATCTGTGTTTGAGTTGCTTTTGCTTTGCTTATCGAGTTATATTTTGTGTTTGGTCATTGGTTGTCTCATTACTCGATTAAAAACATCGTGCCAATGCAAGTTTTCATTTTCTAAATTCAATTTTGTGTCCATTTCATGCAAATATGGTGCTTATGATGCAAAAATGATAACACTTTTCATAAAAACTATGGGGTTTTATTCCGATCATGGTTTTTACAAAAGGGGAGTACAAGTTTCAAGAGCAAAAGTAAAACCTATCTGAAGCTATACATGTGCTATGCTACCAAACAAAAAGAAACTACGCAAGTTGGCAGAAGAAATAAGCTCGAGCTGAATACTCGAGGAAAGAGTCCACCACCTTCAGCTTATCCATGAGCCATACCTGAGAATGGATGAAAAATAAGAAAGATTAAAGAATAGAAAGATATACGTGGAGAAAAAGTAAAGTAAAGGCTTTGAGAGAAAAGTAGAGCATGAGTGCCAAGTGATATGAGACACATATATGAGAAAGGGTGGGAAACAATTCTTGAAGGAATAGTAGACTTCTCACAAACCTGGTGGTCTCTTGCTGATGAAAAGCATCCAAGCCCATCAGGGTCTCGGCTAGCGTCAATCCGATACAACTCTTACCTTCTTTCAAACATTGGGCCCCTTCGATCAACCATATGCTGGTTTCGCCAAAACTAGGGGCAAGAAGGAAATGCACAAGCATACATAAACAGAGGGCATGTTGCCAAAAATGTCGCCAGAAGAGGTCGCCGCTATCACCAATGTCAAAAAATCCATGAATCAAGCTGGGTATGTTTAGTTATCCATTATGGGCCAAAGATCGAGCTTCGTGCAAAGTGAGCCCACACATTTGTCCCAAAGCTTGGGCGTAGCCAAAACGGGGCTGAGACATGATTTTCTCATCGCGCTGGGTTTCCATCAATGCCCAAAATTATTCAAGAGTCGGACATATTTCTTGTGTTCCAAAGCGAAATACAAGCATAATTAGGTCCCAACAGCGGGCCACAACATGGAGGAACGGAAAGCAAATTGGAGTATGGCTTAACGAAAAAAGTGCATTTATGCCGAAACTCCAGAAATTTACTTTTCCTGTGTCGTCTAAAGTGGTTATCCAATCTGTGAGCTTCTTGGCAAGCAATATCTCCATTGGTAGAAGAAACATCAGCTAAAATGAGGTTCTAGAGGAGAGAAGGAGGACCTTTTGTAGAAGATAAGGCTGTGAATGGAGGCCAGTTGTCAATAATCTGGTGATCCACACATTTGTGGCCTGCAGGCCACTAATTGTGGCTAGCAACCCCCCTTTCTGGCCTGCCATCCACTTGTGTGTTGGGCAGTGTTAGTAGCCTTGTTTTTGTCTTAATCTTTGTGTTTTGAGGTCTTGTTTTGAGTCTTTTGGTCTTAACAGTTGTGCATATCTGTGTTTGAGTTGCTGTTGCTTTGCTTATCGAGTTGTATTTTGTGTTTGGTCGTTGGTTGTCTCATTAATCGATTAAAAACATCGTGCCAATGCAAGTTTTCATTTTCAAAATTCAATTTCGTGTCCATTTCATGTAAATATGGTGCTTATGATGCAAAAATGATGACACTTTTCATAAAAACTATGGGGTTTTATTCCGATCATGGTTTTTACAAAAGAGGAGTACAAGTTTCAAGAGCAAATGTAAAACCTATCTGAAGCTATACATGTGCTATGCTACCAAACAAAAAGAAACTACGCAAAAAGTACAAAAAAAAAATCGACGCCAGTCATCTCAAGCTCAAGAGGCCCTCTTTGTCCTTTTCCTCGGAGGGGACTTAGGGACACTGTCTCCATTAGCACCGCTGTCAGAATCAGACTCTGAACCAGAGCCAGTATTATCTCCACTCCTTGCCTCAGAACCCGACTTGTCGTCAGCTCCGCTCCCAGACCTTGAGCTAGCATCATCATCTCCGCTCTTAGATGACTCAGAATGTCAACTCGTTGCCTCCTCAGAGTCGTTAGTCTCAGCATCATCATCGTTCAAAACGGGCTTTGAGAGACTGCTCCGGCCTCAGGTACCCTTATCCCTGCCTCGACCACGGCGCACATCTCGGCCACGTGCTGGGGCCTACCTCTCACTTCTCTTTGCTATTAGAGAAGGTGCTACTGGTACTGCTAGTGGTGTTGCTACCACTGGTGCTCTCGGTATAGATGGAATCTGGAAAAACAGTTGTCAATATATCAGCTACAGTGTGTGTATTAGATACAGGCATAGTATGCAGAATGAGCGTCATGTAGAAACCAGATGCAGTATGAGTACAGTGTGTGAGTACAGTGTGCCAATGTAGTGTGTCAGTGTAGTTTGGGAAAGACTACAATTGGGGTGCCAATGTATAAGTGGGAATATGATAGCGTGGTGTAAAACAAAGTTAGTGATGAAATGCATGCTAAAATAGAGGAAACTACCTGAATACCGTGGAGACCAAGCACCGTCTCTCTCCTCTGCACCATGTCGATCAGAGAGGCAATTAGCTCGAGGAGGCTCTCTGTATACTCCGTAGGTTCTTGCAAGTGCATTTGACTGATCAATATCAGGAATGAACATATTTGAAATGGAAATGTGGGGTACAAATTGTAAAGTGAGATCCATACCTGAGGTGCACCTCGAGCTTTGACATACTCGTGCCCTGCCTCTGCCAGCTCGATCAGAATCTGGTAGGCTGTCCCAGTCGGCCGCTAACATATGAGTGCAGTGGGAATCTCCAGCCAACCGGTCATCTGCCCAACAAGAGGGGCCCCTCTAGTATGGGCCCTGGTCGCTCGAGTCGCCTCACTCACCACAGGAGCTCCTGCTCTCTCGTTTGCACGAACGCCGGTCAGAGGAGGCATAAGATAAGTCTGGATGAATGTCGCGTAGTCGCCCTCTGCTTTGAAGAAGTCAGAGTCTAGGCCCACTATGAACTGGATGATTGCATCAACCGGTAGGCTATCTGTTGTGTCGAAGTATTGACAGAAGAAGGCGAAGGTTATGTTCTCGTAGCTCCGATGCTGAAACCGACCATCATACCATCGTGAATATGGAACCACGGGGGGAATCTCCTCCATGGGCTCCAAAACCAGAGCTAGGAAGTAGGCATAAACCTACAACTACAAGGAAAGGGCAGTGGTGTTATCAACGATGCATGAACAGATACAGAAAGTGCAAAGCATAAAGCATGATGCATGAACAAATACAGAAAATGAAAAACAAAAAAAACAATGTATGAACAAATATTAAAGTAGAAAACACAAGTTGTGAACAGACATTAAAGCAGAAAGTGCAAAGCAGAAAGCACAAGTTGCGAACAAATATTGAACAAAAAGTACAAAGTCAGAAAGGTGTGGTGCATACCTCTTAGGCTCTCCAGTAACCTCCAACTCGCTCTCCCCTCATCTGGAAAGTGGAACTCATGTAGCCGTAGAGGGTAACGAGGCCAGCTCCACCCCAATCATAGAATCGCACCCGAGGCAGAGTTATCAGGGCGCTCATCAGATATAAGCTTACGGTGTTCCACCTGTTCGAAAATAATGTGGTACTGAGAAGAAACATCAAGAAGCCCTGGGCATACTGCTCCACCTCCTTTGGTGTCTCGGGCTTGCTCCCGTGAAACTGCTCGATGAACTAGCTATACCTCACCATCACCGGTCTATACAGAGGTGGGTGTGCTCCAAGCAGGTGGATCCAAGCGGCCTCTCACTTGCCTATATCCGTGTTGAAGGGGATCGGATCACCCCCTACTCCTAAGCTTGTTAGCATAGCGAAGTCGTAGGGAGTCATCGTCATCTCCCTAGTGGAAGAGGGGTGGAAAGATTTGGTGGTGTCTCACCACCTTTCCACCAACGCCCCTAGAAGAGTCCGGGTTGCTATGTACCGTGAGAGCTCGGAGCAGAATTGGCCAAGGCCGGCCTTGTCAATAATGTCGCGAACCCCGGTGGCGAGCTCATAGTACCAGTCCCTTGTTGTCGTCGCCCCGTATCCCTTATAAGAGCGGGAGTCTCGCTATGGCAAAGAAAAGATGAATCAGATGAAAGGCAGTGATAAAAGAGCATTCAGATAAAAAGCAGTGCAAGAAATGCAGTTAAAGGAAAGGCAATAATGCATAAAAATAGAGTTCATATATCGGTAGCGTTGGAGAAAAGGTGGGAGTCCGGCTCCCTCAGTAGGAGGTCCTCTGGCATGCCATGAGAGAAGTCACTGAAACGCCTGAAGCCTCCAGGTGGTAGTATATGTGTGCGACGATGATATGTAATAGGATCAAAGGGTTGCGTCCTCAGTGGTAATGGCTTTGGTTTGAGCTCTAGAGCGAACTTCGCCTCAAGATCAGCTATAATGTCCTCTGCCACCTCATTGGCCTCGACAACCACTGGCTCCTCAACCTTGGCATGAGGTGATAATGGAGGTGGAACCTCGGAAGGAGCCCCGTCATGAGGAATTCATCTGCCATCTAGAAAGTGGGTGAAAATGGATGAAAAGTGAAGAAAAATGGACAAAAAAAAAAGTGTAAACTTGAAAAAGTCAACCCCAGGAGAGAGAAAATGGGAGAAAAATTCATAACCCAGGAAAGTTTGCAAAACCCGAGGAGAACAAGCCTAAAGTGGTGAAAATGCAGAAAAAACAACGAATTCAAAATCTGATTGGTTCAAAGTATAGAGAATCAAGAGGGTTTTATGAAGAAAGTTTGTGTGAGGCGTTGGAAAAAGCATATAACGCACAAATCTAGAGAGAGAATACACCTAGAGAGAGAGGGAAAGTATTTTCGAAGGTGTGGGTGTGTGCAAATGAAGTGTGGAGATGTGTACTTAAAGACTAGAGGCTGAAAAGACCTTTTTTCCCCGATTTGTGCACGGGTGGCCGGCAGGCCATTATTGGTGGCCAACAGGCCACATTTATGGCCGACAAGCCCAAATGGTGGTCGGCAGCTGGCCGGTGGTCCTCACATGTGTCTTAGTGCTGTTTTGTGCCTTTGTTCCTTGAGAAGTATATGAGAGGTTCACTGTTGAGTCCAGATTGATTCTAAGGGATCTCGAAACTGCGTTCCGGTGCGTGAATGTGCTCCACCTACCAATATGAGCGAGGTGTATCCTTTTTGAACATGGTGCAAAGTCCTCGAGATGTAAATCAGAGGTCGTCACCGAATATCGTTTTTATTCGTTTTGTCAAATTACATCTTTGTTCTCTTTTGTTGCATAGAATGTGCATTTTCACATATACTTATGTTGCACGCGTGTCCTGCATCATTCATGATTCGTGCATAGAACATGCTTTCAATTTTGCACAGAATATGCTTTTGTTTCTTGCATGGAACATGCTTTCAATTAACGTTATACGTAGGTTGTCTATCTTGCATGGAATACGCGTTGTCACTGTATTGATTTGTAATCTTGCTCACTTTGTGCATCTATCACACTTGTTCACTTTGTGCATCTATCACACTTGTTCACTTTGTGCATCTATCACATTTGTTCAGTTTTTGCATCTATCGCACTTTCTCACTTTGTGCATTTATTGCACTTGTTCACTTTGTACATCTATCACACTTGTTCATTTTGTGCATCTATCACACACGCTTATTCCTCTTTGCATCTTTTGTTTGTATCTCAGGACGCGTGAAACGCAGCCTTGGGCGTGTTTTATCTCAGGATGCGTGAAACGCAAGCCCGAGCGGTTTTTCTTTTATCTCAAGACGCGTGAAGCGCGGCCTTGGGCGTGTTTTATCTCAGGATACATGAAGCGCGGCCCTGGGCGGGTTTTATCTCAAGACGCGTGAAACGTGAGCCCAAGCAGTTTTTTTTTTATCTCGGGACGTGTGAAACGCGACCCTGAGTGATTTTTCTTGTATCTTAGGACGCGTAAAGTGCGGCCTTAGGCGTGTTTTATCTCGGGATGCGTGAAACGCGAGCTCGAGCAATTTTTCTTTTATCTCAGGACACGTGAAGCGCGGCCCTGTCGGGTTTTATCTCAGGACGAGTGAAGCGCAGCCTTGGGCAGGTTTTATCTCGGGACGCGTGAAACGTGAGCTTGAGCATTTTTTTATTTATCTCGGGACGCCTGAAACGTGACCCTGGGCGGTTTTGCTTTTATCTCCAGACACGTGAAAGCGTGACCTTGAGCGATTTTGATCTTGGGACGTGTGAAACATGACCCCGAGTGGTTTCTGTTTCTCAATTTCTCAGGATATCTGAAACGCAACCCTGAGCGGTGTTTTCTTTCCTCGTCTCAAGTCTTGGCATGGTTAGAGTGTGTTTTAGTTCTTTTGCATGGAACCTGTGTTGGTTTGAAGCTTGAAGTTGCTCATTCATATGTTGTTATCTTGCTTATTGCATCTATTATTACTTATTGCATCATCTTACATGATCATGAGTTTTCAAAATAGCCGGCTTTGTGAAGCATGTGAGTCCAGCTTTCAAAGTTTTTTCTGTGCATATCATTTGCATCTTGCATTAAAACAATGCTGGTTTGATTCCTTACAAAGGGATATGTAGGCAGCCTGCGGGCCCAACCATTCAATTTATATCTTGATTGTTTGTCCAAGTCTTACGGCCTTGTCAAAATGGGTTGTCTTCGGGTTTTGACATTCACTCACGTCATTTCATGAATTCGAGTTCTGTCAATGAGGGGCAACAGTAGACACCCCATTTTTAACCCCTCTTACGACTCGGACGTCACCACTTGTACACCCAATGATGAATGTGTATACGCTTGTCAAGTGCTCAGAGTCTTTAGCAGAACGCCACTGCTTTGAGCCTTCAAATCCAATACACCTCTTGCCTTGTTTTGGACTACAACCCTAGTTCTTTAAGCCTGAAAAATCTTGGGACCTGCCGGTCACTGCTATTGGCTGCCGGCCACTGATCTTAGCTGTCGGCCAGAATTAGTGGCCTGCCGGCCACAAGTGTGTTTTGGCAGATATTTTTGCCAGCTGTGCCAACTGTTGTCACAGATGCATGTGCTTGCTTACACATGTATGTATTGATATTTCTAAGGGAGTTTGATGTTTGTCGATATATAAGAGTCCTCCCCTTCCATCTTAAAGGTTAGAAAATTTTGGAGCAAAATATTTTCTCTCTATCTCTCTTGCAAATTTCTTGAGCCTTTGCCTACACACTCTAAACCAAACCTTGTGGTAGCTGAGGCACTTTTAGGCTTACTTTGAGCTCTAGAGGGTGTGTAAGTGTTGATTTGTTGCTTGGAAAGTGCTCTCATATTCAAGAGGTATAAGTCTTGGCTTATTGCTTTGCTTTAATTGCTATTTTGCCTACTATTTTTGGGTTGTTCTTGGGTTGCTTAAACTCTGAAATTTTGGGTTGAAACTTGTGGTTTAAGGCCAATAAAGGTGGAGGGGTGGCTCACCATTCTTTGTACCTAGCTTCCAAGGCCTTTACCCTTGTGTTTCCCACCTTGTTGTCCACTTTCTTTGAGCTTTTAAATACTGAATTTTAGAGCTTTTTTAGTGGCTAAAATGTTGTTTTGAAGTCTAAAAAATGGAGGGGGTAGCCTTCCCTCCTTATGCTTTGTTTACTAGCTTACATAGCTCCATGTTTTAGCTTATTGTTCTAGTTATTTTTTGTCTTAATTCCAGCATGTTTTAGGACTGATTTAGCATTATTTTAGGACTGTTTTTGGTTTCTTATTGCATTTGAGCTTTGTATTGCATGCTTGTAGTGTAATTGTCCTCCTAGGTTGATAGCATTTGTTTATGGCTTTCCATACTTGTTTTCACCCTTAATCACTTGTACAACCTCCCTCATTTCTTGGCTTTTTCTTTGCTTTGAAAGTTGGTTCAAACTAGTTGCTTGTTTAAAGCATGAGATTGAGGTTTTGTGCTTAATGGTTTAATTCCTTTGGGGGTTTATTACCAACAGCATGACATTTCTCTCATGCCTAAAACAACTCTTGGTTTGATGCTTCTTTCCATTGGAGGACTTAAAGCTCACCTTTGGACTTAATTTACTAAGAAATGGTTGGTAATTAAAATGGAGTATTAAAATGAGGACTAAAAATGATGCAAGATAATAACTTGGCTAGGGTTCAATCGAACGTTAATTAAACCCTTGAGTTTTGAATTGTTTCATACTTGTTAGTGATGTAAGCAGTTCAAGAG